TTCAAATACGTTCCAAGAGGTAGTATTAAAGGGCTTGGATGGCTTCATTTTGGGAAGACATGGTAGCCACTTTCAAGTATGTAAAAGACTGCTGTGAGGAAAGGATTTATCATTCTCTGAATCCGCTGGGATAAAGACACCTTAGACTGCTGCAAGGGAGTGCCACATTATGCATGAAATATTCTGAATGGATAACAAGTAGCTGAATGGATAGCCTGGAGTTGGTGGAGAATCTCCATCACCTGGGATCTTCAGGACTTTATCAGACTTTTGTCTGCAAAGGACAGGTAATCTTGGAACAAGGGTATGGAAAATTGGGAAAGATGGTTGAGTTGGCATCTGAAGGCCATTTCTCACTGTGAGTAGATTTGTGTTTACAGAAGATCAGGTCCTGACAAACTATGCAGTATAACCTAGAACTGAATGAGGAAATGACTGAGCACCCTTTTGCTCTCAGTATTCATGCCTCCACCTAGGCAGATTTATAGCTGGTCAGCATAAAGGCATGCAGCTCAGCCACATTATATTTATTTTGTTGCTAAACTGAAGACATTAGGCAATCTCTGTTACTTTTCTTGGCCATTCAGCTTTACCTAATCAAACAGAAAACTTCTCCAGACATTGTGGGCGTTTAAATTGTGAAGGCTAACTACCCAGAAAAAGAAAAATCAAACCAAACCAAACCAGAAACCACTTCATAAAACTCGTAGTTAAGTAATAATTTAAATCAAGCAGCACCTGGTTTACCACAGAGAGCACTCATTATTTAAAAATGTCACAGCAAATAGCAGAGGTTAAATTATTTTGAGATGGAAGAAATTATACATGATTTGGGATGCAATTTAAAGTGAAACCTTCAAAGGTGTTGGTTGGGCAGGCTGTATCAGAGCATGGCATCAACTGGAACAGCATTTTATTCTGTTTGAAATCTCTGAGCACGAAGAATTAAAAGATCTGGGGATAAAGTTACAAAAACTTCCATTTGCCAGACATTATCAAATGTAGCCCAGAGGACTGAATGAGAGGATGGAATCACCAGCTGGCTGACAACTGTATAGATTATGTCAGTGGTTTCCTACCCTGCTTGCTAAAGGGACGTATTGGGAAAGAGTCTATACTAAGATGAGTCCCTGCACACAACTGGCCAGCAGGGAAGAGTGGAGTGGCAACACAGAATCATCAAGGCTGAGGTGAGAGAGGGACTGGCTGCGGTATGCTGTGCTAATTTCTGCACAACATCTGCACCATAGGTAATGAGAACAATAAATTGCTCTTACATGTGTTTCTTATATCCAGCTGCCAAGTTCTTCCAGACAAAGGCAGATAGCATAATCCTTGCTATACTCAAAAGACAAAAAAAACCTTGACACATGAGCAAAGTGATTTTACTTATGGTTGAAAAGCAGAATAGGGAAATACTCCATCTCATGGGCCACAACCAGACTCAGAGAATAAAAAGGCAGAAAATATTTCTAAGTATCACACACCCAATTTGTCTCAAGATGTTGATTTTACAGCAGGAGAAAACCCAATGTATGCAGTAAATGTTACTTTTTAATGCTTGCTCCAAATTAACTACTGTTCCCATTTTTTGCTTACTGTGCTGATCTTCTTATTTACCCATCTCTCTCTTATATACACATGCATATACATAGATAAATTCATCTCCAGTCAATTTCTCCCCCATCCTGCAAGCAGCTCATAATATCAACACAACAGCACTGAAAGAGGATTTTTTTTCTATATTGTAAAATATGAATCCACTAATTTGACAGTGACAAATCATAAGCATCAATGCGCAGGAGCATTTTAATGAGAATGTGGGGAAAAATCTGCCTCACCAATTTTCCATTGAAGTGAAAACCAATCTTCCCTTCCCTTCCCTTCCCTTCCCGCACCTTCCCGCACCTTCGCGCACCTTCCCTTCCCTTCCCGCACCTTCCCGCACCTTCGCGCACCTTCCCTTCCCTTCCCGCACCTTCCCGCACCTTCGCGCACCTTCCCTTCCCTTCCCGCACCTTCCCGCACCTTCGCGCACCTTCCCTTCCCTTCCCGCACCTTCCCGCACCTTCGCGCACCTTCCCTTCCCTTCCCGCACCTTCCCGCACCTTCGCGCACCTTCCCTTCCCTTCCCGCACCTTCCCGCACCTTCGCGCACCTTCCCTTCCCTTCCCGCACCTTCCCGCACCTTCGCGCACCTTCCCTTCCCTTCCCGCACCTTCCCGCACCTTCGCGCACCTTCCCTTCCCTTCCCGCACCTTCCCGCACCTTCGCGCACCTTCCCTTCCCTTCCTCCCCCTGCTTTGGCTACAGCTTTTGATGTTCCCTGTGCAGCAGACTTAATGTCTTTCATGAGATGCAGTCCCCTCAGTCGGGAGTCTTTCATGACATGAAAAGATTTCTCTGCAATTTTTTTTTATTATTATTATTTTGATGTAAGCTGTTAAAATATGGAGAAAACACTGTCTGATTATTTAAAGATAAAACCTATACTGGGTCATGTATCTCTATTGCAAGGCTCAGTCTACTTTAAATTGATGAGTTGAGGGAATATTGGAGGATTTTTATTCTCAGTAGTCGTGACAGGAGAATGAGGGAGGTGGGAGTGAAAACTAGATCCGTTCTGAGCAGCTTCTCCTTCAGTTCTGCCAGAGGTGTCTGTTAGCTGTTCGTCACCGCAGATCCAGTGCCTACAGGCTCGGTTTGCACTTGCTTTTGTTATTTCCCCTGCTTTTCCTGGAAATGTTGAACCATGAAAGTTATTGAGGAGAAAAGTTATTTCTAATAAAGAGTCCTTGAACACTCTGTTGCTGTCATCACCTTCCATGTTAATGCACGTGAAGGAGACAAGCACAGCCGTGCTCTCCTCCAGTTCTCTCTCCCTAGAAACTGAGACATGAAACACACTTTCATTTTGCTCTGAACCTTCAGGCAAAGGGAGAATCTCTTGTGGAGTCACAGAGTCTGTGCTGAGGTGCTGGCCAGTAAGCCTAGGACCCAAGATTATATAAAATGCATTTTTCTTTGACTTTTCACCAATGCAGAATTTGACTGTCTCTGGGGACACAGCTGCAGTCCAATAGCCCTCTCCCCTTCCCCTGTCATGGGTGGCTCATCTGTGCAGGGAGACAGGGATGTTATTCATCAGAGCTGGGAGGGTACAGCACGTAGGTGTGCAGGAGAAGGAGAGGCTGTGCACAAAGCCCGTGTAGACAGTACAAGAAGAGAGTGGGTGGGCAGAGGGGGGTGAGGGTGTGTAGCTGTCAGAGAGCAAACACATGTCTGCAAAACTTCTACCAGCATCAGGCTACTGCTACTGCCCAGGCACCACCTGCCTAGATCAAAGCCTTTCCTGCTTGTGTTAAGGGAGGCTTTGAACCTGCAACGACTCCCCCCCACATTCCTTCTTGCCTCCAATGCTGGTTCCAACAGGGGCAGCTTTGGGGAGGCATGGGGACACACAGAAGCCTCACCTTGCCTCCCTCACCCACACGGTGGGAAGGAACGGTGTTCTGCGAGCTGGAGCAGCAGAATGCCTCTTCCCACCCTTCTGCTCTCCCCTCGGGAGTTGTCAGGACCTCAGGGGCCCAGGAACACCTTTCTGTTTTCCTGGCCGGGTTGTGCTCGGTGGGAGGTGGAAGGAGCTGCAGCAGGTGCGGGTGGTGCTGAAGGGACAGCTGCGATGGAGACCGGCCGGGGCGGGGGCAGGAACGCGGGGAGGCTCGGGAAGGGAGACGACCGGACAAGAACAGGACGGGGGAGGGAGCTGTAGAGAGGGAGGGAGAAGGAGAAGTCCGGGATTGAAAAGCACGGGGCAAGGACAGGGACAGAGAGAGACACGGGGCATTGGACGGAAAGAGACAGACACGGGGCAGAGGCAGAGAGAAGAGGGACAGGAAAAGAGCAGGAAGGGAGAGGAAAAGGAAAAGGAAGAACAGGGCAGACTCCGGGCTGCGGCTCGGCTGACGTGGGGCTCTCGGCAAGGCCGGCTGTAGCCGCGGCTCCGCCGGCTCCAGACTCGCCGGTACCGGGCTGCACCCGCCGCGCCTGGGGACAAGGGGACTGCAAGGTGGCAGCGCGCAGCCCGCAGCGCCGCGGGGCCGAGGCGGCTCCGGGGCCGCCGGGCTCTGCAGACACCGGCCCTGGGGAGTCCTTCAGGCTGCCGACGTGGGTGTGCTCGGCGTGCCGGGGCACCCACACCGCCACCCAGCTCGCTGCCCGCCGAGTGTGGCCGCCGGGCTATCCTGTGCCCTGGCGGTGCAGGCTGAGCCCCGGGGCCGGGGGTGCCCGTCCGTCTGCCGGGGATGTGTCGTGCCCGGCCGGAGCTGCGGCTGCAGCTGCGGGGCTGCCCCGGCTCGGTAGCCGAGCGCCGCAGGTTGCATCCGGACAGCGCTTGACCAGCTGTTTTGTATATTTTCTAATTTCGTGCAGAACAGGGCAGCGGTCATAGAGGTAATCTGTAGATCCGTGGCTTTAAGGGATAAATTAGAGCATTGGATTTGATCCGTATTGCAGTGGATTAGAGCAACCTCTCCCCCCTCCCCTTCTCCTCCTCCCACCCCTCCTTTCCAATTCACTCCCCCCTCCTCCAGCACCACCTTTTTTCCTCTCATGCAATACCAAAACTGACCCTGCCTGGCAGAGAGACTCTGCTAGGCGAGCAGAGCAGTGCTCACATCGCCAGCACACCGCGGGAGCCGCCTCTCCCCTTCCAGCCGCTGCAGCCCCCCCGGGGCACCGCTGCTGCAAGTTCCCCGGAGGCTGGCTCCGGGGCCGGGGTGTCTCCTCCGGGAACCGGGGAGCGGTCGCTGCCCACCGGCTGTCCCCTTGCCTCGGCCCGGCAGGGGCCGTGGGGCGGCGGCGAGGGAGAGCGGCCCCAGGAGGGCATTTCCCGAAGGCAGCGGGGCCGGGACCCGGCAGGAAATGGAAGGATGAAGTGTGCAGCCGGAGCGGTGATGTTCCTTCTCTCCTTGCTTTCCCCAGCAGGAACGTAATCCGCAATGCTTGTTCTCAGGTTGCTCAATGTTGTCGCTCCAGCCTACTTCTTGTGCATCTCCCTAGTGACCTTCGTCCTCCAGATCTTTGTCTTCATCCCCAGCATGTTCAGAGACCCTTCCACCACCCAACTTTTCTCGCCTGCTCTGCTGCATGGGGCCCTCTTCCTCTTCCTCTCAGCTAATGCCCTGGGCAACTACGTCCTTGTGATCCAGAGCTCCCCCGAGGACTTGGGCAAGGACTTAAACTTGGGCAAAGGAGCCGAACTGGCAGACTGGCTGGATGGAAGCAGGTCCCCTGGCTCAGCCTTGCCCAGCACTCACTTCTGTAGACTGTGTGCCAGAGTCACCCAGAGGCATGACCACCACTGTTTCTTCACAGGGAACTGCATCGGGAGGAGGAACATGCGAAACTTCATCATGTTCTGCCTCTACACCTCCCTGGCTTGCCTTGACTCCCTAGTGGCAGGCATGGCTTACATTTCTGCTACACTTTCCATGTCCTTTGCGGACCCACTGGCCTTCCTCACTCTTCTGCCTCACTCCATCAGCCAGTTCTTCTCAGGTAAGGACTCCTTGCTCTGAGATGAGGAGCATGTTCCTCTTCCAGGGCTCTTGGGATGGGGGACCTGATCTTCCTTGGATAGCCATCTGTGTGGAGGTGTGGTAGGGAAATGGGAAAGAGGGGCAATTTGCTTTCTTTGGAGACTACAGACAGTCTTTTCAAAAGGCTTTGCTTCACCTGAAATAGAAGCTGGGACCCACTCCAGGTTACATCCGTAGCTATATTCCCAATGCATTAGGTTCTGGAAAATGCCCCATAACCAATCTGGTGGTGATAGAACAGAACTATCTGTTGTGCAGGGCATGTGTTGTAATTACACAGAAGAGATGGATTTCACTGCAGGTATGGGCAATCTTTTGCCTGTGCTGTGGTAGAGGTGGGGGGGTCCTGTAGGGTTTCTTACCCTACAAATCTACAGGTTCCCCCATATCCCAGCAGGTCTATCTTATCCAGGTCCACTCATTCCCTTCACTGTCACCCACCTCCTGCCTCCTGGCAGTGCAAATTTATTGAGATCTTTTCATGCTTCCAGCACAGGAGGTTGGGGTTCAGGCAACAGAAACCAAGAGAGGAGTTAATGTGATGTGAGTACCTCCCTGTCTTGTGACCCCAATATGGGACACAAGTCCACAAAGAGCCAGGGGAAATTCTCTTTGCTGCTCTTTGCAAAAGCTCCACACTAAAAGCAAATACCTCGTTCTTCTTCCTACCATTCCTTACCCTTCTTTCTACTTCTTCCCCTTTCCCCTCTTTCCCTGCCTTTCCGTAAATCTCTACAACCCTTCTCCTTCCCTCTCCTGATTTTGCTCCCATAACACATCCTCTGCTCTTGCAGAGCAAGAAGCCTTGCCTCTTCACTTTTCAACACACCCTCAAACTCTCCAACCTCAACCCTTTCTCCATCCAAACCCAAGAGTTAGACAGATCCTGCCCTCAGAGAAGGGATTATGCAGACAGCCTAGACTGTTACTCTGCCCTGAGAGCGGCTGCAGAAAATTGCCATCTCCCCCCTATGCAGCTCCTGCTTCATACACTTACATCAGCTGTTACTAGACTAAAATAGGTATCCCATATATTTTAGCTTTGCAGGTTCAGCTGAGCTCAGTAAGAAGGGAATCTCTTTTGGCTTGTGCACTGTCACCAGAAGTGTTGATTAAGATCTGAGTGTGGAGACTCCACTGCTGGGAATACAGGAGCCAGAGAGGCCCCAGCTTGCCTTTCAGATTCCAGGCTGGGTTGCCATCTGAAAACAAATATCCCTCTACTTGGCAAATTTGCAGATTTGTCATGGTAATCACTGAAAGACAATAAACATGAAATCCTGCCATGACATTTTTATGGAATCATTTTTCCAAATAGAAGAATTTTTGTAAATAATGTTGCATGAGCTAGCAATGCTAGCTTTACTAGCATTAAAAACATTGGGAATGATTTTCCCCTGTGCCTAAGCTCTGTTCAGCACAGCAGTCTGGGAGGGGGAGCAGGGATATGGGAGGAGATTATCAAGGAATTAGTTCCCTCTGACTCTGAGGGCTCATCTGCACAGACGTGGGTCCTGGCATATGTTTGCAGAGACACTGAAGGACCCCTGCTCTGGTGGCAGCAACTGTGGTGCCAAGACATTACGTGGCACTGTTTGAGTGGGACACAATGGGTCTGGGTGCAGAGCTAAGAGCCAGAACACCCTTGAGAGGCAGCAGCTTCCAGCAGCTCCCAACAAACCTCTAGTTCTGCTGAGAAGAGAACTGCTGCCTCACACAGCAAGATACAGGCATGTGGTGTCCTGATTGCTTGGGAGGAAGGGCCTACTGGGTTTCTACCAGCACATTTAACCTCCATTGCAAGAAAGAAGAAGTCTTGAACGGTTACCTGGATGGGCTGCTCACACAGTGTTTTTCAGTGAATGTAACTATTACTTAAGGGTTGTTGTATGATCCAAACAGAGGACTGTGATAGCAGGGAAAAAAATTTCTCTTTCTTCTTCTCCATCATGCCCACTGTACTGCAGAAGTAGTAAAGGAAGATGAAGGGTTAATCTGCTGGTCTTATGTCAACTAAGTGTTCCCTGCTTTCGTCCTGGGAAAGTTTTCGGCTGGCTCATTCTGCCCAGACTGTACTCAGACATGGATTTCAGAATCTGACCCAAAGTCGATAACTACAGCCTACAATACAGCTTTTCTGGCATGGATAATATATGGCAATATGAGCTTGAGATCACACTGGGTCACTTAGAGCAAAAAAGAATCCAACACCAAAAGAGACTGAGGGGATGAGTGGAAAATGGAGAGCACTACTGTAAACACCTTATATTGGACCACACAAAATAAATTATAGAAAATGCTTTATGTAGGTAGCCTGAAGAAAAAGTTTAAAAAATCATGTATCTGGAAAGGATGGCTCAGAGATGCTTAATATTTTCAAGGGGAAACAAGGGTAATTACTTCTTGAATGTTGAATTTCAGCAAGTCAGATAAATAAAGCTTACAGGTGCCTTGCAAAGGGACTAAAGAAAATGTCTCTCTCCATATCCCATCTCAGTATCAGCTGCAGGAAAAAACCAAATGTCTGTCATATTCTGGTCCAGTAAAAGACGGAAAGAGAATCCAGTATTTAGCTCTGGGCTCCCTACCTGGTAGATTAAGTTATTCTGACACAATTGGTATGAGGATTTGTCATTATCCTAAGGGGCTTGTTCTTCTCTTGCTGTGTTGCATACGGAGCCCACTGAGCTGAATGGGATCTAATAAGAAGGGAAAGATGACATTGCATTTAGGAAGAAAACTGAATGATTCCTGCACCTTTTTCAAGTGAAGACAGTCTCTGAAAGCTTGAGGCTATAGTCAGTGTCCTTATAAATTATCCTCAGAGGAGTCTGCCCCAATCTCTCACTTAGAGCACTGCCAGGTGGAAAAGATGAGATTCAGAGACTGCAAAACCAGGGGATACCACCTCATCCAGCCTTCTGCATAAGGGAAGCAAGAGATGCATATCCAGTGACTCTTCTGTTGAGCTTAAAACCTGAAGCACCTATGTGCCTCTTTTAGGCAGCACACCTCTACTGCCCATGCAATCCCTGCTTGATCACAATTGGTCTTGTAGGGCCCATGCTCTTCCAGAGAAACAGAAGCATGTGAGAGCTTTTTTTTATTTCTAAACCTTATAGCAACCAGTGAAAAGATATAAACTATTTATATCAGTATTGACACACATTTAATTTCCTTTGTGTAAATATTCCTGTGTGTAAATATGGGTTTTTAATAATATACCAACATGCACAAAATACGTGCATAAACATCATATGGGCACACAGACAATATTATATTAATGGGTTTAGATCTGCTTACACACTGAAAGGTCACTCAGTGACACCTGCTGTTATACTAATATTTTCCAGAAGGAGTTCTAAAATCATTGTAGAGGGAAGGGCCTACAGAATATTTTTATTCAGATATATTCATCACAATTATATACTAAAAACCCCCCAGCTGAATTAGGACCTTCAGATACTGAAAGCATTTTGAGTATTCTAGCAGCAGCTAATAAAAGGAATTTGGATTGTATTTTAGAAAGGTTTCTGTTTCTTTCTTGCATTCACATGAAAACTGCCTTGCCCCAAAGGTAGGAAAGTCACTATTGATTTATTTTTCTTTTTTTAGGATTATATGTGTGTGTATATATATGCACACATATTCCTATAGTAGAGACGGAGAAAAAGAGAAATCTGATATATTTCTGCCTTGTGTTAATACAAACAGTAAGGTTTCTAGAAGGATCTACATGTTGTAGGATCCACTTGTCTTTTCAAAATCCTAGAAACCTTAGATTCCCTGTGATGAGCAGGTAAATCCTTAAACAAATTAATCATTGTTCAGAATTGTATTGGAGTCTTATTATTGTGAAGGCTTTACTTCTTTCTGAATTTGTCCCTGTAATCTAGATCCTCACATTTACAGCAAAAGGAGAAGTGTACAAGAGACCATTATCATTTTGGTATTTCCACAGCAGATCCATTGTATCAGACACTACAAAGGAAATAATTTAGTGTAGTTAGAGCAACCAGCCTGTCTTGTTCCTACCTCCCAGCTTGCAGCCAGAGAAAACAGGTGGTTTGTTGGTTCCTGGGGCTGTGTTACACCACATGTGGGGTATGTCTAAGCTCTTTCTTTTATTGTCCTCCCTACCTTCTGGCTTTCAGGAGCTCTCCTTAGCTCTGAGATGTTTGTCATCCTCATGCTCTACCTCTGGCTTGGGATTGGACTGGCCTGCGCCGGCTTCTGCTGCCACCAGATGCTGCTGATCCTGCGTGGGCAGACACGGTACCAGGTGCGGAAAGGAATGGTGGTAAGAGCCCGGCCCTGGAGGGAGAACCTGCAAGAAGTCTTTGGCAAGAAGTGGCTGCTAGGACTTCTCATCCCTGTGCAGAACGTGGAGAGTAGCTACCGTAGGCAGAAAGAGAAATAAAATTCCCGTGCATGTGTGTGCATCCCACGCACACAACACCTTCCCTGTTCTCTCCCACTGTCTCCTGGATCACTACAGAGCTGGGCTACTCCATCTCTCGGGATTGCAGCCACTGTGGGAGGAAAGGATGGGCTATCAAACAGAATAAATTTAGCATATTAACATGGAAATCACAAACCATGTAGATGAGATACTGCAGCTTACTAGTCACATCACTGCACCTGCATATGTGGCGACAGTCTTGAACTAGCAGAAAACTTAGTCAGACCCTCCTCTGGCTTCCTGTCTGAATCCCCCAGCCCCCAGCCCCATTAGTCTCTTTATATAGTCTTAACAAATTGCAGTGGGAGCCTGGGCTGTTGTGGAAGACTGTAAAAATGGTGTCTAGTCTTTAGGAAGATTTTGTGTAGTGCCTTTTTGGCTCTTATATACTTGAGGTAACTTCACATGAAAGCATCATTCCAGAAGTGTTTGGACAATGATCTCAGGTACGTGGTGTGATTCTTAGGATTGTCCTGTGCAGGGCAAAGAGTTAGATTTCAAGGATCCTTGTGGGTCCCTTCCATCTCAAGATATGATTCTTGATTCACAGTACTGACAAGCCCTTAATGACAGAAATGCAATGCAATCAAGCTATCCTGGGAACAGGCTATGAACATAGTTAATGCATCAGGAAAACCTCTCCACAGGCTAGAAAATCATGAGGAAAACAGAAACTGAGAATTTCTCATTTCTGTTCTTGATCTGTTCCTTATACAAGGATAGGTCAAGACTGTACCTCTGCTACTTATTTTTAGCAATCCTTTGTCCAGTGACAGAGCCCAGGCAAAGCTGCCCTTCTGACAGGGAGCAGCAAGCAGATAAATCATGGTCAGATGGAGGGACAAGGAGAGGAAACCACAAAGGTGAATGAAAATGCTGTGTTTGAGAAGCTGTGTGATGAAACAGGCTGTGCATACCTGTGAGAGACACAGAAGGAAGTTTGGCCACACAGCAAGCAGTTGGGAGGGTGCCAAGAGCATTGCCGCTGTGTCAGAGCCCTGATGCATCACCCTCTCACAAGGGACACCTGCACCATTAGTGCTGTGAAGAGTTCAAAACCCCAGAAGACAGGGAAGTTTTCCAGCCCGTCAGGGCACTTCATTTTGCACTAAAACAAACAGAAAAATGGTTTTTTTGACAGACATCCCTGCCACACTTTAGTTACAGGCTCTCCAGGGCAATTCCCTCTCGCATTGCTGCAGAGGGGTAAAATCAACCATGTTATAACTCCATTAAGGATGTTAATAGAATTACTACAGGGACTAATCAACTTCATGTGTCACTAGATTTTTAGCTGCAGCAGCAGCCCATTAGATCAGTGCTGAGATCCTATGCTTTTAGATGCCTTAACAAAGGATACCATAACATCTCTACCAGGATCATAGCACTGAACTCCCCAGCAGCTGCAACGAGAAGCCTGTTTTGGCAAACTGCATCAACTTACGTGGGCTGGATAGGAATCCATTGCTTCTCTTTAATAGGCTGGGGAGTATGCTGACAAGCCATGAAAAATGTTATTTCTTCCTCAGAAAGGCTCTTGGTGCATTCCTGATAGTGGAATTCACCTTGCTTTTATCCTTGTGTTTCTCCCAAGCCAAAATGGAGTCACTTGTTCCTACAGGCTCTGTAACCATGTTTGACCACTTAACACTTGAATACACGTTTGAATCAATAACAAACAAAGTCAATTGTGATGAGCAGATTAGCCTTGAAGATATACTGGAGAAACGCTTAGCTGAATAACTAAAACATGGAGGATATACATCCTTCCACACTGTGTGTGTTTGCATGAACACACCATTGTTTCCACATGTAATATGCTGTATTTTCTCTAACAGTGAACAATAAAAGGTATTCTGATTTTTTTCATGAGCTGTATTGTGCTTTTTGACAGTTAGCTGTCACTAGCAGTCTCTGTACATTTGTTACAGCATATATACAGATGTGTCAAAGGGAGAAATTAGGATTAGTTTATTACCTTTGCCAATAATTAATCATGTGATTTTTGACAAGTCCTTCCATCCTCCCTACTTTAATGTAATGACCAATCTAAAAATACATCTAATAACTAATTTGCAGACCCATTCTCATTTCTATTTATAAATTACACTACCAAAGTCATAGCTTGTCAATTCAAAGCTATGGGAAAATTAAGCTATTATCATCACCCACAAACAGCATCTCAACATAAATTTTTCCTTCCTGGCAAATGATATCAAGGTGAGCAGACAGTCACCTAGACATTGGAACCAGAGCCAGAGCCTCATGCTATACACTTTGCCTTGGAAGGATTATTCTTGTTCCACAGGATTATTCTTGCTGATCCAACTTTGCCACTTTTGTGGATTTCAGGAAAATAGGCTTTCCATATTTCAGGCAGAAGCTACCTCCCACTAGCAGAAATTATGGTTTGACATCTTTGCCCTCTGCTTTTGGCTTTTGAGGGACACTGCAGTCTCAGGCAGCTCATGGCACTTGGCACCTGCTGCCCCAGTGTCTCAGGCTGTAAAGCTCCTTAGGGCTGCACACTGAGAAGGGCAAAACAACTCAGAGGTTCAGTGGGCCACTCTGCAAGGACAGAATCCACCCAGTACATTAGCTGCCCATGAAGCCTGCTGCCTCTTCACATCAGGGCTGGATCATGCCTGGCCCCTGTGTCAGGGTAACAGCTGTCTGCTCTTACCACAAAATTTCAGTCCTTGCAGAAGCACAGATAGATCCCAGTTTGAGTCACTGCAGCACAATCATGCACAACTATTCTTCCTGTCAGACACCTGTGTTCCTGGCTGAAAATTGCTGCATCACCATTTTATGCAGCTAAATTGTTCATTTGCAGCAAACTACTGGATTTCAGCAGTTGTGGTGGGACTTTCAGATGGATACAGCCTTTACAGTTATGATCCTCTGGGATGGAAAGAGCTATAAAAATGTAACATTAGACTGACCCTGTATATTGGCTTATTTCCCTGCTCATTCCGAAGTGTGCAGACTGCCCTGTTTGGGTAGTGGTTCTGCAGAAACAGTTAAGAGTATTTTTTTAATTAGTCAACTGCCCTGACATCCCTTCCTTATCATACCTTTCTATACTTACAGAAATCCTTGGCAAGAAAATTTAACAGGGCTCAACAACTGTGAACAGAACCTTTGCTCTTAGCTATGATTTAGTAAATGAAGGCTGAGCTCAATGGCAATGTCACAAATTCTAAATCTGTTCAATGCCTCTAAAGTTTTCTAAGGATAAATAATAAAAGCTTCTCATCTTCTGTGCTTAAAGAGTCATTACTTACTATTTGCATTTCATTACATAGCAGCTGCAATAGCAAATATATTTTGGAACATGATTTCTTGTGACAATGTCTAAATACTTGCAAAGGTTTTAAAAATAAAGCACTTAGGCTTCTCTGGCTTTGGAAAATCAGATGACCACCAGATTTCTTCTCTGGTAATGCTAGTGGCTGAAGTAAAAGCTCCCTATTGCTAAAGATCTTGCACAGAAACCACAGATGTTTGCTTAGTGGCTTGTCTATTTTAAGAGTGACTATCTGAAAAAATGATGTCACCTCCAAGGTCTCAGAAGTCTTTGCAACGGCAAAGGGGGTGCAACTCTGAAGTAAACCAGAAATCTGTTCTTGTGTACAGAAAGAATCTCATAAAAAGTAAGTAGTAGAGGGTGTTCCTCTCCATACTGCACTACCGGGTGGCCCTGAAGGCCTGCATGCCAAAATGTCTTCACTAGATATCCTCAGAGGATATAGAGTTAAAATGTTAAAGTAATAAGGCACAGGGAACATAGGAGGAAAGATGATGTGAAATAGCATTTATCTTAAGAAATAGCCAGCTCAAGGGAGATGATCACAGTCTAAAAATACTCTCAAGGAGACAGACTGAATGAATGAGAAAACTCATTAACTGTAAGGATATAGCTGGAGGAGGACAAGCAGTCCTGGACTGGAAGAAAAGCTGAGGTTGAGAGCAATCAGAGAAAGAGGCCCCAGTGAGAGCAGAAGTGATTTGATGTGCGTAGGGATGATGAGAGCCATCAGGCAGTATGAGGTATGACAACACAATTCAGGTTAACTTCATTGATTGTTGGCTGAATGGACACAAAGAAAGTTAAGAAAACTCATTGCTAATCACTTTCTGCTCAAAAAACCTCAAAGCCCCAGCAGAGCCAAAAGGGTTTTTCTCTCTTGAACAGCAAATTATGTTACAAGAAGGAGGTGCACAGATAGAAAGCACAAGCAGCAACAGCAGAGTCCACACAGCTCTCTTTGAGTTATTTAAAGACTAGCCAAAACTATTAAAGTTGGAGTAAAGCAATGACCTACTTGTCCAATACAAATGAAGGAAGAAGAAAATTTAAACCTATGTGGAGTCTCTGTGTCCTGCTTGATATTTAAATCTATGGAAACATGTCAGACAACAAACAGCAAGATGGTCTTTAACAATGACATGTCCACATGTGGGTTTTTTGATTTTTCAGCTCTTTTCTGGAAAGCCAGGGGAATAAATAATCCTTGGAGATTACACTGAAAGTCAGCAAACATGGACCAAAAAGCACTTCAGTCCTCTTATGGAGCCATCCTGGCAGCAACCTTGTCTTCATTACACCAAAGAGCTTTTAGCTTTGGTTGTCCTGCTGAATCTAACTGGCAAGTGATGTCAGAGCTCCAGCATGCCAGTCCCATGTCTCTTAAGGTATCTGGAGCCAGATCTTTCTAGTCTCCCCAGATATTCACAAGTAAAAGTTATAAGTTCTCAAGTGTGTACTGGGTTGATCTTGGCTGGACACCAGGCATCCACCAAAGCCCCTCTACACTCCCCTCTGCATCTGGACAGGGGAGAGAAAATATAACTGAGGGTTAATGACTTGAGATAAGGAACAGGAGAGATCACTCACCAAATACTGTCTTGTGTAAAAGAGATTCGAATTGGGGATATTAATTGAACTTATTGCT